CTATGTTTAATCGTATGATTATTAGTTGTGATTTGAGGAGAGTCGCGATTCGTATAATTTTCGTCGAGTAGAATATAATGATCCTAATTCAATCAAAAAAGGAAATACATAAAGAGTGAGAGCAACTTAAATTTATAAAACATTGAGAAGGGATTTGAACACAAAAAATCTGCTCACCGATGGTTAAACTCTATTGATTAGAGTACCATGGTTGTTTGCAAACTACAATATTGGATAATAATTATTTATTTTAGAAAAATGCACTACATATCCTAATTTGCAAACCACAATTGTAATTCAATTAGTGTCATGATTCAAATGATATTAATGTAAGCGATTTTAAATTTAAAAAAGGAAATGGTCCGTGATGGAGGGAGGAATCATCGTCGTTGGCTTACTCTTCTATGGCAACAGTGATGTAGTGATCCAAATTATCTGATGGTGATATCAACGCTCATAGATTTTTGGTAGAGGTATGACCAATTGGATAGTTCTTCTCTTCTGGTTGTGTTGATTTTGTTCTATGACGGTTCTTTCTCGAGCACTGATGCTTCAAGGTGGTTTGTCTTTTTCGATGTGGGGAGTTCTATTGGTGTCTCGGCTAGCTTCGTCTGGTCAAAACTTTTTGTCTGCCTTCTTTTAGAGTGCATAGACATTGGTAGAGTTCGTCCTCCTCCAGAACCACCTTCATGCCATGAAAAGTTTTGCGTAAATTAAAGATTCTATTTCAATTTTATTTTTTCATTAGTAGTACTTGTTTTTATTTTAATTTGAAGAGGAGTTTAGAAATTTGGTTTTCCAGTGTTTGTTTGAAACACATTATTTTAGTCTCGGTTGTTTTAGGCTTTTAATTTCCCATTTTGTATCTAGCGAATCAGGTTGATTTGTATGAGGTGACTGTTTTTACGCAATTTATATCCTGGGATCGGCGCACCATGAGGATGGTGTGCCCGATCCCAAAACGTCGTCGTTCGATTTATTAAAAAATTAGGTTGCATCTTGGGATTAACCGATCGATGATTTCCGCAGCTCAACATTAACGGATTTTTCTCCTTACTCTGTCATCTCTTCCATACATTTTCTAGGCTTCTTCAATGAATTATTCTATCGATGATTCTGTTCTTGTTGATTCTTCAATTGGATTGCGAGATACTTTTGCTTCTAATACACGCGATAACATCATTCATTCAATTGGTGACAATGATTTCGAAGTTGATCAAATGATTGATGTTGAATTGATCGGTAAGTATTAATGTTGAATTGAAGTAGTTGTGTGAATTTCGTTTATTTGTGCTTGCAGTATTCTCTGTTTTATACGATTGCTTGAGAATTTGGATTGTATGAGTATTCATATTTGCTGATTTTACATTCAGGAGAAGAAGATACTATTTCAAAAGCTTCTAAATTGTTATATCTTCTTAGCAGAGGTACTTATTCCGTCATGTATCTTCAATTGTATTTAACTCGTGTCTCAATTTTATGTAACTTGTGTTACATGATATGTAACTTGTGTTACATGATATGTAACTTCAGTTCAATTTAATGTCACTTAGTTCCAATGTATGTAGTTGTTGTTTGTTTTTCATATATATGCTTTGTAAATTGTCAGGTTCATTGGAAACTGATCATCAGTCAACTGAGAGTAAATCACTTATTGGGCTTAGTGTCAAGTGTGAACAAGATGCTTATAATCTTTACAATGATCATGCTTTTGAAAATGGATTTGGTATTCGTAGATATAAACAGAGGTTTAGGAGTGGCAATGTAAGTTTGATTATGAAGTCTTACTGTTGTTGGAAAGAAGGGAAGAAAGAACAAAAGGGTACTGAAAACAAAATGTATACAAAGTTAGATTATCGTTCTGGTTGTAAAGCGAAGTTACAGTTTTCTATTAGTATTGATGGTGAATGGACTGTTTCAAAGCATATTATTGATCACAACCATGCTTTTTGTCCAATTGGTCAAAGACACCTGCTGAAATCACATAGAGGCATTGATCGTGAGTATCTTAAATTTATTATGTTGATGAAGGAGAGTGGGACAAAGGTTTCAGATGTTCACAGGATGCTTCAAAAACAGACTGGTGGTGTTAGTTCTCTTGGATTCACGAAACGTGATGCTTATAACGTTCTAGAATCTGAAAGAAGTAAAACGTTTGATGGTACTGATTCGAACACTTTGATTGGTATATTGAAGAAAAGGGCTGAAGTGGAATCTGATTTTTTCTTTGATTTTGAGCTGCATGACGATGTACTGAGTTGTTTTTTCAGGAGAGACGGTCAAATGAGATCCGATTATGAGAGGTTTGGAGATCTAGTTGTGCATGATACAACTTACAGGACTAACAAGTATGACATGATCTGTGGTCCGTTTATTGGTATGAATCAGCACTCTAAAAACATAATGTTTGGTTGTGGCTTTATGCTGAACGAAAAGGTGGAGTCTTTTGTTTGGTTATTTCAGACTTTTCTGAAATCTATGGGTGGTAAACACCCCATCAGTTTCATGACAGACCAGTCATTTTCCATGGCAGCAGCTATCAAATCTGTGTTTCCTGGAGCAAGACATAGACTCTGCACTTTGCATATAGATGAAAATTCAAAGAAACACATCATGCATCTACGCAAGAAGTTAATATTTGTTCCTCTGTTTGATTATGTTGTGAAGCGATGTGACACAGTTGCAGAGTTTGATTTCTACTGGAATGAGTAAGTTATTTGTTTTTTGATGTAACTTTTTAATTATTTGATGTAACTTGCTCAATTATTTGGTGTAACATGTATGGTTTTCATACGTAATCTTGTCTTCTTTTTAAATCTGTTTCAGATTGAATAGAGTTTATAAATGCAGTGATAACACATGGTTGAAGAGGTTGTACAGTCATAAAGAAAAGTGGTGTCCTACTTTTTCAAAAGATTACTTCTCTGGTGGTGTTATGTCCTCCCAAAGAAGTGAATCTACAAATAGATCAATATCTAGAAGACTTACAAAGACTACAACATTATGTGCTTTTTTCAAAATGTTTTGTGATGTTGTTGACGAATGGAGGTTAGAGGAAAATGGTCATGATTTTAGATGTTCTGAAGGCACCGTTGAGATGGTATTGCTACAAGACAGTTTGTTGTCTCATGCTAGAGATGTGTATACCCTTGAGATTTTCAAACTGTTCCAAGAACAATATTGGAAGGGTATGTCACATTTTTTTAAATTAATCTCACAAAATTGTAATGATTATGAGTATCATGTTTGGTTGAATGGGGTAGATTTGATTAGACACAATGTTACTTTTAATCAAAATTACAACACAGTGACATGCACTTGCAAGATGTTTTCACAAGTTGGCATTTTGTGTAGACATATTTTGCGTATATATAATGTCCATTGTGTCAAATGTATTCCCCAAGTTTATATGTTGTCTAGATGGACAAAGGCTGCCATTCTGCCAAATGTTAATCTTTCTCTTACGCAAGGAACCGATATTATGTTTGGGAAAATATTGGAAGATTCTGTTTGGAGAGGGCAAATGACTAGGAAATTCAACACAGTATTGGGTGCAAGTGCTGGTTTTCCTGAAGCTAGGCGAGTATGTGAGCAAGGATACGAGTCTATTAAACATATTTTAGATATTCAATGAAATGCTTCTGTTGTGGATGAATATGCTTCAAGGACAATATTGGATCCTCCACGCTCTCGTCCTAAAGGTCAACGAAATACCCAAAAGAGAAGCACTATTGAAAAACAGTGCAAAATAGTCAAAGCTCGTCGTTCCAAATCACAAAATGTTGCCTGCAATTCAAAAGCAGTTGCTCAATCTGTTGTACAAGTATTCATTTATTTTTTTTATTTTTTATATATTTAATGCATCTTTTCTGATCATTACTTTTTTTGTTGTTTCATTCTAGGACACTGTTAGTTTCATGGTTCCACAAGGTTATCTTGCTCATCCAGTTGGAGGAATGACGTCCTTAATGCATGTGTTTGGATCTCCACAAGTTTTTGCTCCATACTTCATGCAATTGAATGTTGTGAACCAAATGCAGAATTAGTTATAGAGATACACATGTTTGGCATTTGTTGTTTTTTTTATTGTACAAGTTGAAGAGTTTACATATATTATTGTGGGTTATTACATTTGTAGCAACCAAAGTTACATTTGATTTAATGGAATTTATATTGTCTTTACTGTTCGTTTACAGATGTCAAAGAGCACTACTATAAAAACAATACACAATCAATATTGTTTACTCTGAACTACAGAATAGTGAACACAATCACTATTGTGTAACAGTTGTTACACTCTTTTTGCCTTGAGTTACATGGTCCTGTAACGTGAACTACATTTGATGTAGTCATTGTTTACATCAGATGTATATTACATGTATACCTAATGGATTTGAATGAGGTTAATATATTAGCCTATAACATTTCATTCCTACATAAGTTATATATATAAGTGTGTGTGTGTGTCTGCATAAAACATATATAAGGAGTTTACATCAAATTATCATAAACTAAACATGTAAGTTGCATTTTACATCATAATATCTTAAACCAAACATATAAGTTGTCCATTGCATCACCAGCTACTGCATAAAACCAACAAATGTTTTAAGTTTATCCATACCATCACCCCCTCCATAAAACCAGCAATTTTTTTTACAGTAATCCTACCAGATTAATCAATTACATCTTAAGGTACTCTTTTGCTTTTTTACAACATTTTCCCTTTCACTATTAAATTTAGACAGTAATACTTGAGCTGCATACATCAATCTCATCTTCTGAAGGGTTTCATTTTGAGCTTTGATTCCGTCATTTGTAGCAGCAGGTGCAAAGCCAGAATCCCATGTGTGTCCTTAGCCACGATATGTCTCCAAGTGGCGCAAAACAAATATTCCACAGTCAACATTATTGCCATTATGTCTCCATGGCATAAATAACATTCTGGGAATCCAATTTCTGGGCTTTCCATCTGAGATCTTCACTTTCTCACAAAAGACTTTGAATCCATCACCCTATACAAGAAGTTACATTAATGGACTAAAATAATATTGAATAATATCATTTGTTATTTCCAGAAAAGTTGTACTGAATTTTTACCATTTTCTTAAAAGTTTCGCCATATTTGTCCTCAAAGATCACCCCGTCTGGAAGCACGCGTTTGTCAATCACATCAACAATGTTGGTTTTTGTGTAAAAGCAGTAGATATAATAGTGCCCAGATTTGTGTATTGGAAACATTATCTGCAATATACATGAGTCATAAGCATTTCATCTTTCACACTGACATCAGTTACATAAACCAAAACAGAATGTACATACTTCATATCAAGACTTACATCCCTCAACACCTGCAGTTACATATTATTTTACACCACTTGTTTTAACTATATTGTTAAAACAATATATCTTACATACTGACTTACATAAAACAATACAGAGTTTACACAATTCATATCAAAACTTACATTACTCAACAATTGCAGTTACATAATCATATATTTAAACCATAAACACTTGAACTATGTATATTCAAATATTAATGACATTTTACCATATCAAATGTTGTGATATCTGCTCCTGCTTCATTGAGTTCTTTTTCCAATCTATCAACCACATTTTCGTTTGGGTCACCACATGCAAAATCGAACATTGCCTGCACATTGAAATTGAGTCAATCCAATCAAAATATAGTAACTGAAGTTCTCTGCATTATTTTACAAATTTACAAGAAAAAACTATACATACATATACTTGGGTTGTCGCTATGAAGGCGCGCTTTGTAGTCTTATTTGATTTTTCTCTGTCATTCAGAATCTTTGCAAATGCATCAATGATCGAGTTGTCTATATCTTCTTCTTGAAGGGTTTGAAACTCCTCATGAGTGATAAAAATACCTCCCTCATCTTGATAGACACAGTCACTAACACAATAATACTTTTCAAACAAATTGAAACAATTAATTATGAGATAATGTTTCTATTGAAATAATACATTATATAATATTGGACTTTCTTACTTTTCAACTTCTTTTGGCATGCCATAGTCAAGAACAATCTTTTCATCCCTGCTCATTTCCTTGCACAACCTTCTGTTGTTCTTGAGAAATGGCGATCTGTAATTCACACTTACATCACCTAACTTTTTAAGCTTTCTCTTTCTTGTGTATGGCTTTAGCTCAACATTCCTTTGAAAAAACAACAAAATGTTAACTTCATTAAGTTAATTAAACACATTAATGAATTACATAATAAACAATTAACACTTACTCTTGTTTATTTTCAACTTCTTTGTTTAATTCTTCACCTGCCGCAATTTTGTCCTCTCCAGCTACCCCAACCTCTTCATTATTCTCTCCAGTAGCAGCACTTTGGTTTATTAGATCAGCAGCAGTTTGAATTACCACATCTTCTACATCAGGAGCAGTTTCAGTCATCACATGTTCTACATCAGCAACATTTTCAGTCATCACAGCTTCCACATCAGCAGCAGTTTCAGTCATCATAGCATTTTGGTCCACTTTTGAAGTGCTTGCACCCTGAGTCATGTTAAACTCAATGCCTAAATCAAATGAAGGCATTGCAAATTTCAGAAATGCTGCTTTCTCCAGTTTCTCAAGCGCTTCCATAACTCCGGGCTCATTAAAAAAATCATCATCTTCTTCAAGTACACACTTCTCTGACAATCTTTCTTTCTGAGCCATGTTCTGATCTCTATTTGCTTGATTAATAAAGTAATCAGCAGTTGTCAAATATATCTTCTTCAATATATCAGAATTTGGGAGCTTCTTAGAAATGGTTGATGGTAGCTTGGAAAACTCAACAAATGCATCACTGAATTTTTGGGCGACTGCCACCATTTCCTTCACACACTCCTATAAAATTAAAAATAAACTAAAAATTGTCATATCACATACATTGTAATACAGTGGAATCATCATTCAGAACTTTACATTCCACAACACCTTAGTTTACATTTTGATAGGCAAGACTTACATGTCCAAGTAAAACAGTTAACATCATTTGACTTAGACAACTACAGTTTACATCTTATACCAATAGAAGTTACATTTTAAACAACATGTGTTACATATTCTTGAGCACAATTTAGATTATGTAAAATTCAGAAATCTAAACTCTTCAAGTAAAATTCCAACAAAAATTGCAGTTACATCTTAACATACACAATTTACATAATTCATAGCAGTTGTTACATCAGTAATTACATCATTCTTACAGAGCATTTTGAACACAAATTGGGCATCTTGTTGAAATAAACCAGTTATATCTTAACATACACATTTTACTTGATTCATACCAGTACTTACATATGTTTTCGTAGCAGTATTTACATCATTTAAGCACAGAAATTGAGCATTTTGTTTCACAATTCCAGTAGTTATATAAGTTTTAAGCATTGAAACTCAGGAATTCCAACAAAAATTGCAGTTACATCTTAACATACACAATTTACATAATTCATAGCAGTAGTTACATCAATAATTACATCATTCTTACAGAGCATTTTGAACACAAATTGAGCATCTTGTTGAAATAAACCAGTTATATCTTAACATACACAGTTTACTTGATTCATACCAGTACTTACATACATTTTAACGATTTTTAACAATAATTGCAGTTACATCTCTTAATATACAGTACGTTGAAACTCAAAATTTGTAACAACGATTGAAGTTAGATCTTAACATACACACTGTGCATGTTCAAATTGACATCTCAATAAGACATAAATCACATTCTATACCTCTGAAGTGATTTGCGTCTAGCCCTAGTCATTGTGTCGATCTGCAGAACCTTGTTCTTTGTTCGGATTCCTTACTTTTCCGTCGGACGGAATGCTTTCTTTTCCTCTCGCAAGTGGATGTACTTCAACAATGGAGTTTTGTTGAGATTTTTTCCGATGAAACTTCGAAGAGAGAAATGGTGGAGAAAGTTTCTCCCAAATGTTTTTTTCTGAATTTGAAAAGACACGATTGAAGAATATGGGGGGAAGTGAAGCGAATAACTGCTCGAGAAAGAAAAAACGCGCCGCTAAGAGAGCCGTTTACTGGTTTGCGCATTTTTAGATTAAATAAAGTCAACGGTGTCGTTTTGGGGCAGGTGCAGGATACTCATGGTGGGCCGGTACCAGCATATACGAACTGCTGTTCTTAAGTCTATTCCCATGAATCACAATCGAATCTGTCATAAATGTCTGGATGTTATTCAATATCTTTTCTTGATTTTAATATAAACCGCCGATCATTTATATTCAAAAAAAATTAAAGAAGGGAAATGGGTAAGGAGTGATAAGAAAATTAAATTAATAAAACATAGAAAAGGGATTTGAACATAAACAAAAACCACTCATAGATGGTTAAACTTTACTGATTGGACTACAGTGGTTGTTTGCAAATTACGATATTGCAAAATAATGATTCATTTTAAGAAATTATTAAATACGTGTAAAAATGTTTAAAATCAAAAATAGGATCATTATATTTTTATTTCCTAAATAGAAATAATCATTTTCATATTTTGACATTACCAGATTTTAAATGTAGCATTATTTTCTAAACTTGGTAATAATCATCCTATTTCGAAAATAAAAGATACTACTTTTATTTAGAAATTTCAAAATGTTTGTACTCCTACTTTAGGGATTTTCTCTTTATTGTCTTAATAAATTGGAATTTACTATTTCACAAATTTCGGTTAGCTTCAGTGTGATTCAATTTTTGAGGATATCTTTCAATCTGGACTTTTTTTTCGAATTAATGCTATAAATCGCCAAACGGTTTGGCGACTTACCCCGACCATGGTTAAACCCAATAGTAGATCGGTAAATACTTTTAACCCAACATTATTTTCGTAATTAATTAATTAATTAGCATTAATTCGAAAAAAACTCTTCAAACTGATAAATCTTGGTTGAAGTTTGAGTTATTGGCCTAAACATGACTAAATTGTTGCCGAAATTCCTAAATAGGAGTAGGTGTATATTTATTCCCTAAATATGACTTTTATTCTAAAATTACCCTTCTTCATATTTCTCAATCGCGCACAACAGCCCATCGCTCACCATCTTCTTTGCTCACATCTTCTCTGATTTGCTCGACATCTTCTCTAATCTCCTCATCATCTTCTCTGATCCACTCATCATCTCTTAGCTTGCATGACGGTAAGCCTCGTGGTATGGTGAGCAACGGCGATCCTTTCTTTTCCGCGCATCATCTGCAGCTGCAAGCCTACAATGACGAGCTTTCAAGTGCAACGAGCAGCGACGACAACCAGCGAGTAGTGAATTAAGCTTTGGTGGCCGGGGTGAAGAATTGTCGTTCTCCCCATCCTTCCTTCTCTTCTCTAGTTCTTTCTTCTCCCTCTTCTATTTCATTGCATGTGTTAGTTGAAAATTTGAGATGTTATGTTTCTTCTTTGTTAAAAATGTCAAGTTATACTCTGAAGACGCCATCAAAATGACATTATTACTCATTAAAATTTTCATATTTTCCTTTGGCATTCTGATAAAAATGTAAGCATCAATGGCGGCGGCTAGACCTTCAGTGGTGACGACAACCAGATCTGCAACGGCAACCAATTCTACGGCAGCTGATAGCGGTTGAACATTCCGTCCGAGGCAAAGGCTTTGCCAAGCTTCAAGGGTATTACTGTCCTATTACAAATAATAGCTTCTATTCGGAGAAATTTTGAACATTACTCCTATTTTAACAATTAATTATTTATTTACTTCTATTTAAGCAAATCTCTCCTCAAGTTTATGAAAATGTAAGTTCTATTTCAAACTTGCCTAACCAAAGTTCAACATTCGTTACAGTTTTGGGTGCAATAAAAAGGACGACACACAAATAAACAAAGATACAAACAAACAAACGACAAATGTTACTTTACATCAGGAGGGTTTTAGTAAGAACCCCTCCTAAAATGAGAACTATTAACTCCACCTTTGATATGTCAAATCAAGGGCTAAATTCAACAAGGTGGCATTTTTGTAATAGTTTTATAATAATTACAAAAATACCCCCGTTTGGATTTTGAATAATAACACAAAAAACCTCTGATTGAATAAAATGAAAGGTTGTGTGATTAAAAAATTTCATAATAAGTTCTCCTTTTGAGAAGGGTTCTCACTAGAACGGTAAAACCCTCCCCTCTCTACATAATACATTGTTTGCTCTGCAGGATATTAAACAATAATCAATCGACATACATTAAGCTGAGAAGATCATTTGTATCATTAATAATCAAAGAGAAAAGGGGCAAATAAACCCACGTACTAACAAAAAATGTCAAATAAGCCCTTATATATGAGGCTATGTCCGGCCGTCGTCATTTGGGGTGGTTCCCGATGGAAATTTTTTATGCAATTTTTTGAGCATATTATTCATTAAGTCTAATTTACTCATACCAAATTTCAGCTAAAACTTCAATCGGGAAGGCATTCAAATGAATTCTTGAAGATAACTGCGCAGTTAAAAGCACAGTTATCTTCAAGAATTTATTTGAATGCTTTCCCAATTGAATTGTTAGCTGAAATTTGGTATGAGTAAACTAGACTTAATGAATAAGATTCTCAAAAAAATTCATCAAAAAACTCCACCGGAAACTGCCCCAAATGGCGACAGCCGGACAGAGCCTCCTACATAAGGGCTTATTGGACCTTTTTTTGTCAGTACATGGGCTTATTTGCCCCTTTTCCCATAATCAAATAACCTCACAATAGCTCCGTTATATAATACATGATGACTGGCGTCATCCTCATGAATCTCATTAATGGTTCGAGGTTTGACCTCTGGCAGTTAGTTCTATTCTGCTGAACATGTGAGGCTGGAACCGATCGGTAGCGTTGACATAGGGTCAAATGCATAAATGTTATCTTAACTATTGATAATGTTACATTTTTTGACCTTAACTCTTAAATGAATCAAAACGGTACCTTAATTATACATACATGTTTCGAATTGAGATTTTATTCAAATTTTCAATAAAAAAATCACGTGTGGCGACCGGAATTCTATGCGTAAAATCCGCTTCACCTTAGTTTTGTCCATATGATCACTATAGGGTGACTCTACACATGAAATTTTGATGAAGGGTTTTTTGGTCTGAAATTTGAATAAAATCTCAAATTAAAACATTTATGTATAGTTCAGGTACCGTTTTGATTCACTTAAGAGTTAAGGTAACATTACCAATAGTTAAGGTAACATTTGACCTCGTTGACTAACTTAACCGAACAATTTCATGTACAGGCTATTTGCCCTATAAGCCTATCCCCCAAATAGCAGACACGTATAGGCTGTGTCTGCTATTTGGGGGATAGGCTTATAGGGCAAATAGAAAACGCAATGCATCGTGCTGCTTTTGCAAGCATAAAGCGCTCGTTTTCCGTCAATGGTCTCTCTATAACCTTCACGATATTTGCATCCTGCGGTACATAGAAAGAAAGCAGTAGGAGATATATTTTATATTTAGTATATCAATGAATTTCCATTGCCATGTACATTAATTACAACACTCTACCTCCTATATTCACATCATTTTTTCTTGAACATAGTCACATTCTGAAATGCTTTTTTGCATTCTAAATGCACTTTTAGATTGCCGAGAGAATTAAATACTGCTATTTTTCAACTCTACCCAATACCCATGTCATGATGTTGGGGTATAACTAATTCAATAATTCTAATTTCTTACTCACTTCACCAGAAATTATTTGACATTTTAAAAATGTTCGAACATATGACCGGAATACCAAGGAGGCAAGGAGCATTGCAAAAAGACCCATTTATCCCTATTAAAATTTAACAATTATTTTGGGACAATAGTTGGCTAAAATGACATTTAATTTGGGGCGGAGGGAGTAATAAATGTAATGTAGTCCTCTAAATCTCTAAAATGAAGATTCATACTTACTAAATGATATTCTTAATTCATTCTTGTATGTAACCCTTGACTGACGGAGAGAAAGAAACCAAGGGGGCACTGCTATGGATTAGGATGAGTTTAACTGATTGCATATGCTATCTATCTTTGGGGGGGAGGGCGGGGGCGGGGGGGGGGGGGGGGGGAGTGACTAACCTTCTTCTGCTGTTGCATTGAAGGCCTCACACTGGCAATATCGCCCACCACGCTAACATTGTTAACATTGCCACTCTCATCCCTTTCAGTTGGTGAGGATGTAGAATGCCTCCATTGCCCATTGATAATGTACTTATAGTAGTACCTAATAAACAAAGATATCAATTCCTAAGCTGTAAAAGCTAATGCTATCACCAAGACAAGGTGCAGAAAAAAGGATGGAGAAGATTGTACAAGTATTGAAGTTTTTTGCACCACTGGCATTAATTCAGTACTATAAGATTATGATTATAAAGTAACAGATGGAAATGATCAAATAGGCATTTTCTGCCATTTTGTAATGGAAATGGTTAACTAAATGAAAAAAATGATGGTTTACCTCTAGTGTTAGAAATTAAACTTGGCTTAGCCAATAATTGGCTAATAGTTGTATGAGAAATAATAAATTAGTTAGCCCATAAGTTAGTTAGTAAAGAAAGATCTAGAGTACTCTTTAGTTTATGTACCTAAATAATTTTAGAATATTCCTAAGCTAGAATCCCATAGAACATTGTAGAATGTTAAGGAAATAGGAGTGCCTAGAAGGATCCTATGAGACCTATAAATAGTGCACTCCTCACTCATTTGTAACACAAGCCAAAAGCTCCAAATCAATAAAAGTTCTAAGTTCTCTCAAAATCATCTCTCTTAAATTCTCTCTTCCACACACAATCACCCAATTATAATACTCATAAAATCCTTTCTTCCAACAAAGTGGTATCAGAGCCACCAATCCTTTCAAGACAAATGAATGCCAACGGCTTAGCTACATTCCAATTTCTCGCCTCACTAAAGAAAACTACTCTAGTTGGTGCATTCGCATGAAAGCCTTAATAAGATCTCAAGATGCATGGGAGATTGTTGAGGAAGGTTATGAGGAACCTCAAGATGATGCTACTTTAAATCAATCAGAAAGGGATAGTCTCCAAAGGAGTAGGAGGAAGGATGAACAAGCTCTCACTCTCATATACCAATACTTAGACGAGGCCATGTTCGAGAAGGTTGCAAATGCCACCACTTCTAAAGAAGCATGGGAGATACTACATAATTCTTTCAAGGGAGTCATCAAGGTGAAGAGAATTTGTCTTCAAACTCTTAGAGGTGAGTTCAAACAACTTAAAATGAAATATTCGGAATCAATATCCGACTATTTCTCTAGAATGTTGGGAATTGTAAAAGAGATGAAAAGGAATGATGAGGAACTAAAAGACATAACGGTGATTGAGAAAATTCTTCGCTCTCTCATCAAAGACTATGATTATATTGTGATGGCCATAGAAGAGTCCAAGGATTTAGAGTCCATGACCATTGATCAACTTATGGACTCAAAGTCCATGAAGAAAGAGTTGTGAGAAATAAATCTGATGAATCATTGGAGCATTCTCTTTACTCCAAACTCTCTTTTAAAGAGGGGAGAATAGAGGTGAAGAAAGAGGCCAACGAGGTCGTGATTGTGATCAAGGATATGGTGCACGTGGAAGAGGTGGTCGAGGTCGTGGTTATACAAACTTCAACAATGAAGAAAGAATTCAATATACGCAAGCATCTAGAGGCCGTGGGAAAGGTAGCAAACTACAAAAGTATGACAAGTATCAACTAGAGTGTCATAATTGCAATAAATATGGCCACTATGCATATGAATGCAAACGCTCTCATCATGTGAAAGAAGAGGCCCATCTCATGGAGATGAATAATGAGGTAGAACTTACCTTGTTCATGGCAAATCATGAAGAACAAACAAAGAAGAGCATGTGGTATTTAGATACCGGAGCTAGCAACCACATGACAGGAGATAAGAGCCTGTTCGTGAAGGTGGAACAAACTCAAGGTCATGTTACCTTTGGAGATGAGTCTAAAGTCGTGGTGAACGGTAAAGGTAACGTTCTAATTCGCCTAAACGATGGAAGTCACCAATTCATTTTCGATGTTTACTATGTGCCCAACTTAAAAACAAATATTCTACGTATGGGACAACTCTTAGAAAAGGATTAATATATTCACTTAAATAATCGTAGTCTTTCGGTACGAGACAATAATGGGAGACTAGTTGCAAAAGTGTCGATGACTCGAAACCGAATGTTCTTGCTTGATATTCAGAGAGATCAAGCCATATGCTTGAAAAGTTGCTTGAAAGACGAGTCATGGATTCAGCACTTAAGATATGGGCACTTAAACTTTGGTGGCTTGAAAATGCTATCGTCCAAAGGCATGGTGAAAGGTTTGCCCTTCATCAATCATCCCGATCAATTATGCGAAGGATGTCTACTTGGGAAGCAATCAAGGAAACCATTCCCCAAAGAAGTTACCTCGAAAGCTAAGGAGCATTGAAATTAGTCTATACCGACTAATGCGGTCTTATTACTCCATGTTCTCATGGTAAAAGTAAGTACTTTCTCACTTTCATCGATGATTACTCGAGAAAAACATGGGTATATTTTCTTAAACAAAAATCAGAGGCCTTTGAAGCATTCAAGAAATTTAAGGCTCTTATTGAGAAAGAAAGTGGGTACACCATCAAAGCCATGAGATCAGTTCAGGATGGAGAGTTCACATCAAATGAGTTTAATCAATTTTGTGAAGATAATGGCATCTGCCGTCCCATGAGTGTCTCACGAACACCACAACAAAATGGTGTTGCCGAAAGAAAGAATAGGATTATCTTCAACATGGCTCGAAGCATGCTAAGGACAAAGAATATGCCTAACGAATTTTGGGTTGAAGTTGTGGATTGTGTCGTTTATCTTCACAATCGCTGCCCCACGAAGAGTCTTAATGGAATAAATCCACAAGAAGCATGGCATGGAGGTAAACCTGGAGTCTCACACTTGAGAGTATTTGGATGCGTTGCATATGCTGATGTACCTGATCAGACTAGATCTAAACTCGACGATAAGAGTGAGAAGTTTATATTCATTGGATATGATACACACTCAAAAGGGTACAAACTCTACAATCCAGATTTGAAGAAGATTATTATAAGTCTTGATGTGAAGTTTGAGGGAGAAGGCTCGTGGGATTGGAGTATTGATGACAAAGAAGATTATAGTCTCTTACCTCTCATGGAATATGAAGGTCAAGTTGAAGAGAATCATGAAAATATGACTCCTCCACCACCTCCCGCTCAAGCTCAAGCTTCCCCAACAAGTTCGGATGAAAGAGAAATACCACGCAAGAGAAGCACCGAAGAGCTTTACGAGGTAACACAAAACTCGAACTCAAATGATTAACTTACGCTCTTTTGTCTATTTGGTGATTGTGAGCCACTAAGTTTTGAAGAAGCCACAAGAAGTGAAGAGATGCAACGAATGATGAGATCAAGTCAATTGTGAAGCATAAAACATGGGAGCTAGCTACATTTCCACCAAAGCATAAAGCAATTGGAGGGAAGTAGGCAAGAATAATGGCCAAAGGCTACGCCCAAAGACATGGCATTAATTATGAAGAAGTATATGCGCCCGTTGCTAGATTGGAAACGATAAGATTGATAATTGCACTAGCAACTCACAACAAGTGGAAGATACATCAAATGGATGTCAAGTCCGCGTTCTTAAATGGATTCCCGGAAGAAGTCTACATTGAGCAACCCAAAGGTTACAAGGTTAAAGGGAAAGAAGGTAAAGTGTTGAGGCTAAGAAACGCTCTTTATGGGCTTAAACAAGCACCAAGAGCTTGGAATAGTATAATAGACCAATACTTCCAAGTTAATGGATTCGTGAAGTATCCACATGAATATGCTCTATATGTCAAGAAAAATCATCAAGGAGACATTGCTCGTGTGCATATATGTGGACGATCTCATCTTTACAGGTAATAACATGATGATGTTCGATGAGTTTAAGCAAGTCATGACAAGGGAGTTCGAGATTACTGACATTAAGATTATGAGTTACTATCTTGGCATCGATGTGAAGCAAATGGATGATGGTATATTCATCACTGAAGAAGGATACGCGAGAGAAGTACTCAAGAAGTTCAACATGGAGAACTCCAACCCTATAAGTACATCTGTTGAAAATGGGTTGAAGTTATCAAGGTATGATAAAGGAAAATTGATTGATCCAACTTACTTTAAAAATCTTGTGGGGAGCTTAAGATATTTAACATGTACAAGACCAGATATTCTTTTCAGTGTTGGACTTGTTAGTCGATTCATGGAGGGCCCTACAATAACTCACTTAAAGGTCGCAAAAGGATTTTGCGATATCTCAAAGGCAGCGCTGAATATGGGTTGTTTTACTCTTCATCTGATGAGTTTAAGCTGATTGGATATTGCGATAGTGTGGCATGGAGATATTGATGACCGCAAGAGAACAACTGGGTTCATATGGGAAACACCGCTTTCACATGGGTTTCAAAGAAGCAATTGATCTTCACTGTATCCACCTGTGAAGCCGAGTACGTTGCAGTAACATCAAGTGTGTGTCATGCAATTTGGCTCCGCTACATATTGCAAGCTCTCAGCATGTCTCAAGAAGAAGCAACAACAATACTCTTCATCTGATGAGTTTAAGCTGATTGGATATTGCGATAGTGTGGCGTGGAGATATTGATGACCGCAAGAGAACAACTGGGTTCATATGGGAAACACCGCTTTCACATGGGTTTCAAAGAAGCAATTGATCGTCACTGTATCCACCTGTGAAGCCGAGTACGTTGCAGTAACATCAAGTGTGTGTCATGCAATTTGGCTCCGTTACATATTGCAAGCTCTCAGCATGTCTCAAGAAGAAGCAACAACAATATTCGTGGACAACAAGTCAGCTATTGCATTAGCAAAGAATCCAATGTTTCATGATCGAAGTAAGCACATAGACACTCGATATCATTTCATCAGAGGAAAGATAGAAAAGAAGGAAGTTCAAGTGGAGTGTGAAGACTCAAGATCAAGTCGCTGATATTCTCACAAAGCCACTCAAGCATGTCGTTTTTGCAAAGATGTGGAATCTACTTGGTTTGCTAAGTCAAGTTTAAGAGAGGATGTTAGAAATTAAACTTGGTTTAGCCCATAATAATTGGGTCCATTAGAAGTGAACTTATTGGGCTAATAGTTGTATGAGAAATAATAAATTAGTTAGCCCATAAGTTAGAGTTAGTAAAGAAAAATCTAGAGTACTCTTTAATTAATGTAACTAAAAAAATTCTAGAATATTCCTAAGCTAGAATCCTATAGAACATTGTAGAATGTTAAGGAAATAGGAGTGCCTAGAAGGATATAGAGCACTCCTCACTCATTTGTAACACAAGCCAAAAGCTCCAAATCAATAAAAATTCTAAGTTCTACCAAAATCATCTCTCTCAAATTCTCTCTTCCACACACAATCATTCAATTATAATACTCATAAAATCCTTTCTTCCAACATCTAGTCCTAGACCTTGTGTCACAACTACTTATGGATCCTTTGAAAAAAAAGATGCCACAATTGCCTCAAGTCCTAGACGCTATGACATAACTGCTTATAGAACAAATCAAGAAAACATTAAAAGTGTTGAAGGAAATCCAAACATGGCATGGGCCTCCCATCAGTACTCCAAAGCATGATGATAACCGAAATTGAATTGCCAATATTCTTATGTCGAAGAGAAGCATTACTTACTTTCCCTGTGAGAGACGGACTTCAGCCTCAAACCTAGGGCCACCTTTGTGGACTGCTTTAACTGGTTCTTTCCAGTTTTCTGTAAAATCCCCGACCAAGTACACGTCCTCTCCCTGCCATAAGAAACAATGACAATATCATCATTGCTTTGGGGATAATATATTCAAAATACATATACATGAGTGTCAGAGTGTCAATCCTACCAAAGAAAAGATAATAATTCATAAATTACCGACTTCCCCTATGACTGTCAGTTTTTCATCATAGGAATATAATAAAAGGAGCATATAAGTGCTCGAGCTTACATACCTCATGTCCATTCCACACAAAGGTAACAGCATGTGTTGCAGGTCCATCATGTGCACCAGTTTCCACCATAGCTATCAAATCCCAGGTTCCCCAGGCAATGGCTGGCCTGCACGTTATGGTACAAAATATATAAAGCATTATATGACATGCAAAAAAAATATCCGGGGAATATTATAATTTAATAATATTGACTTCAATAGAAACATCTAACTACGGAGGAAAGTGGGTGAATGCTGCGTGCTTGGGTGGGGAATTAGGGGGTAATGGGGGGCAAGCGAATGAGTTATGTGCTTCTCCAAACTCATTACATCTCACTATTCCAATTCCCTATTTCAGAGGAGTTATATTTTTTCTTAATTCAGTTTTTACCTGTTTTAAATCACGACTGTTTTTGCCTACTTTTGGTATGCATATAGATTACTATATTTCTTATTACAGGAAAAAATATCAAACATATCATTTTACATTATATGAAGTTCCTGTAACTCTACAACAACAACATCCAAGCCTTGTTCCCAAAAGATTTTGGGGTCGGCTATAAGTTCCTGTAACTTTGTAAGAAGTAATTTTACTTTTTGGAGTTCATATATCTACGCAATTCAATAAATAAGAAAGATACAAACATGCTAAAGTATTCTGAAGGGAGAAATAAAAAGAGTATATGGCGATGACAAAAACCTGTCAGGCTTGCAAGAATGTAAACCAGTGACGAAATTATAGGCTGCATGAAGGGAAGTATCAGTCATCCAATGAAGGTATGCAATCACACAAGCAGGGGACCGATCAAAACCATTGGTGCATGTGACATAAACACGGTGATTCTTTTTCAGTAAGCGAAGAAGGAGGCCAACACAAAATGGTAGTTTCTTTCTCATATCAAAGGAATCACCTTCTCTGCACAAGGAATGAATACTGATCAACAACTTTCTTTTACCATTTGACGCTATACAATAATGAAATATAGTACTTCCTGAGTCCTTCCCATACTGTAAGAACATTTGACATGACTATGAAGATAAAGGAGATTGTTACTCTGTATTATTTTACGACTATAGTCCTTTAGATGAAGAATTAATAGTATGAGTCCCGCAAGAAATAAAAAATTGAACTGGTAGGTAAACGGATTAAATGGGAAAGTAGAAAGTTAGTAAAGTTTGAATGAGAAAAGTGATGGTAATTTTGGAACTGACAAAGAACTGATGTGTATGAAACAAATTGGACGGAAGTCGGGAGTATTATAAAACGGAAAATGGCACCTTTCGTCCCTGAAGGATTAATCCAAGTAATTGACCTCTCCATTTTTTGTTCCCGACATTTCCCACTGTGACCCTATTAGTCATCCGGAACCTTCACAAGCTTAATGGAAGATTAAAAAAACTTCTTTGAGGAAGCTGGGGTGCGAAAATGGAGAGGTCACTAGCCCATTAATCTGTGGAATAAAAGTTTACCATGGGGTGCTGGGTGACTAAACCTTCCATTTTACCTATAATTGAGTTGGTATTCTCATTCATTGCACATTCAACGCAGATAAATATATGATAAATGATATATTAGTCATACTGCCATGAATTATATTATGATGAAGTACATGATAAAGTATTAAAAAAGGGAATTTATGCGTAGAGGCCGACTAATAGCTAGGTGCCTGTATCAGTAGTCTACTCCACATATACGGAGAAACGGTAGCATGGAGGAACAAAATAGAAAACCACCAAGTCATTGATACCTTATGGGATAGTTGATCATAAGAACATTAGATCTTTGGCATGATTCATTAATTACTTTAGAATTGATTCCCCAGTTCTCTGTCTCAATTGCACTTTGAAAATTCAGCACAGCAGTGATCCCCTGATGCAGACATGCCTTGGATTATACAACTAGATGGGAAAAAACAGCTTAATCCACTAATAAATATACCCATCGATGAATCTTATATTTGTTTGTATATCTATGACTATATTACTTCCCCCAGCTATGAAGGAAGTCTTCAAAACCGTTGGAAAATGGAAATCCCTTCTGTGAACATATGGATAATGGTGAAAAAAAGATATGCATGCCAAAACAGTCCACGTTTAAAGTTAGGTTATAATTTTGCATAATAATTGACTAAAAGGATAAAGAACAAAGAATGCGCCTCAAATCAGAAAAGCAACAACTCTCACCACTGCATTACACAGTATCTCAACATCAGCTTCCCTTTGAATGCATGAGCCAACATATATTTGTTCTGTGATCTGACAAAACAATAATGCAAGAGTATGTAAAAAGGGTACAGCATTGAGTTTTTCTATGAAACATTAATTTTTTTATCCCATTAATTACCCCTTTACAAATATTATTTTCATGTTTATTAACTTTATTTTCTAAGAGGCAAAAGCATACATTTACTAGTCATAGTAAAAGGTGTAAAGTGTGATTACCATTTATAAATTTTAAGAACACAAGAATATAACTACTTTTCTTGGTTTGTGTAATTAAGTCAATTGTGCCTTATAATAATTTTCAGAGGAAGTAAAAACTCAAGCAGCATTAAAAAAAAGTAATTTATATTCAGTTTGAGAGGACTCATCTTTTTCCATCATTTGCAATGACGCCAAAGATTCACTGTTGTTTGGATTCAGAATATGATGGAATAAAGCAAAACGACTCACTAAACTGTCTGCGCTTCTTTATTGTGGAGCAACGATCAGTCCGTGCGATTTTCACTAGAGTCATTCGGAAATAGTCTCTCTGTGCTTTAGTACAGGGGTAAGCCTGCATACATCCGACCCCCTTACCCCACCGTAGGTGGGAGCCTTTGCGACACTGGGGGTAATGATGATGATGAGAGGACTCATCTCCAAGAAGCATTTTCAAACTATGAAAGTTTGAGATTGATATTGACCGATTAACATGTAAAAAATATTGTACGGCGTATTAAGAAAGCATCTCCAAGGATTGGCTTCAAGATCATATACTACGCATATAACTTCTGATTAAATGGTAAATAGTTGAAATTGATATTGACTTTCCGGTAACAAACAATTAGAACAAAATCCAAACATGCTGTTTTGAGGGAGGGAGTTTTAAGATTATATAGTACCTTACTATATCTCATACCAAGTGCATGATTGTAGTACAGATCCCCCTTGGAACGATCCAACGCCTTTATATATTCTTCTAACGGGAAACTCCCATGAGCCCATTGAGCATCTCTCGTGCCTTTCTCACAAAAGATATTCACGAGTGGGCTAAAAGGTATGGGAGGGGTTTTATTCAGCATAGTTTGCTCTCTGCTTTTGTTTGATTTATCCAACACCTTCCATCCTTTTGAAGTAAGATATTTAGATGAAAAGAATGCAAATCCACTATTCCCACTGCTATCAGTTCTTAAGTTTGAGGCAAGCAAATTCTTGTTCCACGTGGCTACGGGTACACGGCCACGATTAAATAGAATATCAACATCATCCATAAGATACATTTGGTGGATGGGAAATGGGGAGAAAGGTCTCTCAAGAATAAGGCTACAAGATCCTGAATCAGCCTCCTGCATTATCTTCCTACAGAAGCCAATTGTAAGAGACTAAATAGCATGTGATGTTTATACCTTGAAAAAGAAAATATATAGTATTCCATACTCCGTATCGCCAAAGTCCTTAATCTCAATAAGCCTACCGCCTAAAGATTCACTGGCCTTTTTCAAAGTATCACCCACCATAATTATTCTCGACTTTTCAGCATTTCCCTACAAAATAATTGAACTAACAGACGTTATTGGGATGTGTGATCGACGAAAAAACAAAAACAAAAAAATACATGGTTCGACAATGAAGTAGAAAGTTGAGAGAATACTGACCCCTTTCTTGAGAGCATGAACAAAAATCTTTCCGTCAACGGAAAGGGCGAATCGAATACCCAAAGGCTTCTCCAGCGCGACCATGTACTCATTCAAATTCATCGTGAGGGACGAGAAGTTCGAAGAAGACGTCGCCGTGATCAGTAAAACTCTTCGGCGGGGCAACCGCTTCTCCACCGGCATTTCATTGCTGAAACACAACTCTCTGCTCCAAAGGGCCGAAGGATTATCGGTTTTCCCCAAACTCTTCCTCCGCGAAGAGAAGCTGCCGTTGAATGAAGTGTGGTAGCCTGTGAAACTTGGGATTTGCAGCGAACACATTTTGAGCGTGCCCTGCCTGACGATTACTGAAAACGGGGAGTCTGCTTTAATTTAGATTATTTACATGAGATGATTGAAGGGGCATGCAATGGGCCTCGAACTGATTCTCATAACGTGGAAGACGGCGGTTATCGGTGGACAATTGTGGATGAGACGCCGTAAGATCGAGCTAAGAAGTAATGTGTGAGCTCTGCTACTCGCTGTAAGGTGGGGCGCAAAGCTGTGGGTGTACACTGTACACGCTAAGGTTTACCTCATCTACACGCCCGTTACTGGCATATTTATTCTTTTAAAAGAAGAATTGCTCATATTTACGGGTATATTATTAGGGGTTTTTAGTTTTTAGCTAAATATTACTCCCTCCGTTCCTAAAAATTCTTCCCGGTTTGACTTGGCACACTTATTAAGAAAGTGGAATAAAGTGGAAATATATGGTTGTGTAAGAAAAAGGTAAAATGAATGTGAGCCACACAAATTGTCCAAAATGGGAAAGTGAGAAGTATTTTTGGGAACAACCCAAAAAGGAAAGTGGGAAGTATTTTTGGGAACAGAGGGAGTACTAAATTAAATTCAATTTCCATAAATGTGACCACTTTTAAATATTCCTCCTCTGTGACCTTCGGTTGGGAGCTAACATGAAGGCCAGACAAATCCATGTGAAATGCGATTCCAAGTTAGTCGTCGGCCAGATTTCAGGGGAATACGAGACCAAGGAAGGGAGAATGAAACAATACAAAGAAACGGTCAAGGAGTTGGTTAAGTTATTTGAGGCCCATTCTCTCACTCAAATACCGAGGGCTCAAAACTATGGGCCGACATTTTATCAAAGCTCTCGGCTGAGTCCCCGGAGCACCTCTCGAAGGTTGCAAGAATTGAGGAACTCAGCCTCTCAAGCATACACGTCAGCCCCGTCATGTAAATATAACAAAGGCTTGAGGACTGGATATCAGATATCGTGAACTTCATCTCCACAGGCAACTGCCCGAGGACGAGACCTGCGCGAAATCAGCAAAGCTGAGGGCTCTCAGCTACACCATCGAAGACGGAAGGCTTTACAAGCGACCATACAACGACACGTTGCTCCGGTGCCTTCATCAAGATGAAGCTAAGGTTGCAATGGAGGAAGTGCACAGTGGCACCTGCTCAGCTCACTAGGGACCCTTCTCCATGTCCCGAAGGCTCATAGTCCAAGGCTACTTCTGGCCCACAATGGCCCGAGATTGCGCGGATCTAGCCCGAAGATGCGCCGCCTGTCAACACTTTCAGAAGGCTCCCGGCAGGCCGGCGGTCAACTATGCCCTCATCAGCACAACAATACCCTTCTCTAGGTGGGGCATTGACCTTGTAGGACCACTGTCGAGGGGTACCTCTAACAACCAGTACATCATCATCGCCATTGACTACTTCACCAAATGGGTGGAGGCGGAACCCCTCGCTAGCATCACAGAGGCCAGGTGCCGCCATTTTGTCTCAAGAACATCCTCACGAGGTTTGGCGTTCCCTAACAAATCATCTTCGACAACGGGACTCAGTTTGAGGTTGCCCCCTTCTGTGCCCTCCTAGAGGCATGAGGCATCAAACATACTTTCTCGTCCGTTGCCTACCCTCATGGCAACGGTCAAGTGGAGAACGCCAACTAAACTTTACTTGAAGGCCTAAAAAAGAAACTCGAAGCCGAAGGGGGAGGCTGGGTAGAAGAGCTTCACAACATCTTATGGGCATATCGTACCACCCCTCGGCGGGCAACAGGTAAGACACCCTTCTCCCTTTGCTACGGGTTCGAGGCCAAAGCTCCCACAAAGGTAACCCTTCCTACCCGAAGGGTGGACCAATACGAGCCCGAGGTCAACGATGCCAACATGCCCCTCGACCTTCACCTGATCTCAGAATGCCGAGAGCAAGCCTTCCTGAAGGCTGAAAACTACCGAAGACAAATGAAGGGCTACATTGATGTCAAGGTTCGTTCCCGAGAATTTCAAGTGGGAGACTACGTTTTCTGTAGGCGAAGCCAGCCAACCCACCGAAGGCGGAAAGATGGCCCCAAAGTTTGAGGGGCTCTACATCGTCACAGCCATCATCAAACCAGGAACGTACAAGCTCAAGCGCCCCAATGGGACCGAGGTCCCTAGACACTGGAATGTACACCACCTGGTAAAATTTTATCAGTAACGTATGAGAGGCCAAGCCCTCATGACTTACCAATGTATTACCCAACGGCCCAAGGCCTCCTATTTTTCAAGAATAAATTCATGTTGAAAACACCAAAAGTATCAAGTACACAACGCACGTGAGTGGCCAAGCCCTCATGCAAGCTCCTGGCTCAAGGCCTTTTCACGAAACCTCCCGGCACCAAGTGTCGAGGGTGGACGCTCCAATCAACTATGAAGATGAAACACCGAGTGTTTTTGAAGGCGACCCCTCGGTACCAAGTGTCGGGGGCATTGAATGAGAAATAACACCAAGTGTTAAAAATAAAGCCGTGCCCCTCGAGGACGCAACTATACCAAAGGCCCCACCTATCGGTGCCGAAGGTACCAAATACCCCGGCCTTTTGCAACTAATATGCAAATAAAACCCTTCCCTGAAACGCTTTCCGCGCCATTACCCCGAGGGAATGGCAGGCAACTAATATGCCCAGGATTCGACTTTCAAAAACGAAACGCTTCCCGCACCATTACCCCAAGGGAATGGCAGGCAACAAACCATGTCTCGTGCTGAGGGAACGACTTTCAAAACTGAGGCGCTTTCCGTGCCATCCTCCAAGGGGGGAAGGCGACAGACTATGTCTCGTGCCAAGGAAACGACCCTCGATCCCCTCGGAACCCGGAAGATTAATCCCGAGGGGGGAGCCAGTAGTGTATACCGCTGCCTGCCAATAGGCCAAGCCTTACCAAGAAACCAAGTTTCTTGAAGCCTCCCCTTCACTATAAAAAAAGGGGTGAAGGGGAGTAGACTCAACGAGCAATAAATGAGTACAACTTTCAACATCCACGACAAAACACCCTTCGACAGCTAGCAAGGAAGTTTATTACAAGGCAATCCAGCACATAATTGGCTAAGTTACAACGGTCCCGGAGTTTCAAGGAATACCGAAGGCATCCACTCTCCATTTGATGCCTGAGTTCAAAGGCCCACATTTCTGTGGTCAACACCGAAAGCTTTTGCTAGGCAGCACCCTCTATCCCAGCATGGTCCGAAGGCAACTGCCCTCATGTTTCAGGCTGAAATCATTTAACCCTACACTTTGAAAGGCAAAGCCGAGGGCTCCTATTGTACATCTTTCGAGAAGCCAACAAGGATCGAGGGCACCTGCTATAATATGTTGGACTCAATAATTCCTAAGTCCACACTTGGAACCCAGCAAGGTTGAAGGCTTATATACTCGGCAGGTAATGAAGGCACATACCATATCATACCGAGGGTGCAGCTCACAAACATGGGCTCAAACTCCTAAAGTCCACAATCCAATAGCCTACAACACCATAAACATAACCGGAGGCCCCCTTCCTACAAATGGGTTGAAAATCAACTAACTCCACATTGCCACCGAGGGTTAGTAATTGCAAACTCAAATGCAATTTTTCCTAAGTCCATGACTTAGGGGCCCCGGCATCACCATCCTTTGTTGAGGAAAACTTTGCCTAAGAACTACTACAAGCCGAGGACATATTCATGGCATCACCCAAAAAATTTGGCCAAATCCACAACACCAGTTCCCCCAGGGACATATGGCGAAAGCTAACTACCTCATACAACCAATAGAAGGTGTCAGTCGAGGGCCTAGTGGCAAAGCACCACTCGAAAAGTTTCTAAGTCCTAAATCTAGAGCCGTCGGTCAGCTTGTGGCATTTATGCGGACTAAATGGAGACATCAACCGAGGGCCCAACAGTGAACATTACTTAGAAAATTTTCTAAGTCCTAAACTATTGGCCCCCGGCCATCAATGAAGGAGGGCTTACAACTAATTCACACAGCATAAAGTACATGAAGGAAGATTTCAACTGAGGGCCAAGTGGTACTCATCACTTAGGAAAATTTCTAAGTCCTAAATGTTTGGCCCCCAGTCAACTCACAATGCAGACATACATTCTTAAACCTGTCAATTCACAAGAACAAAGATGAAGGCATTCATTCACAAGAACAAAGACGAAGGCATTCATTTATGAAAAGAAAGACGAAGAGAGAATAAGCATTCATTCACAACAGAGAGAAGAGTAATATGTTTAATTATAACAGTTGCCGAAGCCGAAAGCCACAAAATGTTACATTACAAAAGACGTTGTTCGCAAAAATTAGCTAAGTACAAATCATATATTGGCATCCCCGGCGGCACCCTCTTCGATAGGCTTCGAGACCGCGTCCTCCCCGGCCTCCTCCTCGGCATCCTGAGCTTCTTGCATCAGCACGGAGTCTTCGAGATCCGGCCTCTCAACATCCGGGGGAGGGGGATTCTGACGTCAGGTTGAAGGGGGGGGGGGGGGGGAGACCGTATGCCGAAGGATCAAAGTCCTTTTGGTCCACCCCGAAGTGTCGGGCGAGCCTCCGGTAGACGAGGGCCTGAGTGAAGAACTCCCCCCAGCATAATAATCTTCGCCCTTGCGGGCTAGCCACATCGCCCCGGGGCCTTTCACCCACTCATCTGCGGACGCCTCCACCACCAAAGCCACCCAGTTCTTATGGCCTTCGGCTTTCCACCCCTCCGCAAGGAAGACAACAATGGCATCCTCCCGAGCCTTGGCGACGACTTCCGCCTTGGCAGCCCCGGCCTCCTCGACGGCTTTCTTTGCGGTCTCGGAAGCGGCCCTATCAGCTTCAGCCTTCTCCGTTGTAGCTCTCTCAGCCTTGGCCTACCGGAGGTCCTCTTCTAACTGTGTCATCTGCCTCACGGCGTCAACATTATCATGAATGAGCTTCTTCATCTTCTCATCCTGTTGTGCCTTCTGAAGGCGCCATTCCTCAAGCCTCCAGGCTTGCTCACCTAGGGCAACGCAAGCTTGTAAGCAACAAGAGGGTTAGGACACTATGCAAAATACTCTAACGCAGAGCAAAAAGAAACAAAGGAAGAGAAACTTACGGTAAGAGAGGACCGAAGGATCTTAGACTCGAGGGCTTCGTCATCTAGCCTGCCGAGGGCTGCCCTATCCAACGAAGGAGTGGCCCCGCTCAAGAACTCCCGGGGGTCCACAGTACCATACATAATGGCGGTCCCCTTTAGGAGGGAGAACTGTATGTCCTCCCGGGGCAAGCCCACTTCACCCTTCTGCGCCGGAGGAAGGCTAGAAGCGGTCGTGGC